CAGCACAGCAGCAATTTTAAATGTCTTTTACAAAAAGTCATTAGCACTTTTCATAATTTCAAGGCCGTTTCTGAAAAAGTTTAGTAGTTAAATGTTATTGATGACTTCTTAATATCTACTGAAAAATCTCAGTAGAATGTCATATTTTTTAAAATAATTTTTATACCAGATTGCTAAAAAATTCAAAATTTAAGTCTCTGATACCACATTCACCACAGAAACACAACCATTTAAAAAGGATGAGATGTGGATGCAGGGTTCCATTCCTAGATACTGAATTCTGCCTTCTAATTTTTCAGATATTACACAGACATCAGTAACAAAGCTTTAACATAATTTGTTTTAATTCTATAATAAATACCTGAAATCTAGAAATTTCAAAATCAAACTCTAAAACTGAAGACGATTAGAAAAGATAACGTCCATCATGTTTGCGCTTCTTTGGCAACCTCCATATCCATGCCACTGAAGTTTATAAAGCTGAGCATGCATGACTGGAATTAAAAGGAACAACAAATCTAAGGTTCCTTCTGCATCCATTAAAGAGCTTAAAAAGCAGCAAAAAAAGCAGCAAAAAAAGACATAGCCATAGCAATGGAATACAACCAAGCAGAACACACCTTTGCTATGTAAAGAAATGTTTTACAGGCATGACAGAAATTAACAGCACAAAACATTTATTTGAGGATTGCAGAAACAAAACTTAAGAATTTTATTAGACCTCTCTCAGCCTGCATGCCATGCGAGAGACTTGGGAATGCCTAGGGAGAAACAGAAGCTGCCCGGCTTCCCCTTTCACAGTCTCAGACTATCACCAGCTTCACCTGATCAATTAAAAAAAGTCTCTGCCTGTACGGAATGGCCTGTGTTTGCTTATAGGAGATATATCTATGCAACAGTTAGGGCTCATTATTACAAAATAAGCTTGAAAACACAACCAAAAGAAGTAAAAACAGTAACGCAGACTGCCCTAAGGCATGTTCAATTATATATTGAATATATCGATTTTATATACACGTGTGTGTGTGTGTATATACATATTTATAAACCATACACAATTTAATTGTATTTATATTCATTTTGACTTGTAATATTCATTGAAGTGCAGAGATTTCTCAGTAAATGTCTGTACTGAACTATTTCAAATGCACATCTCCCATTAGTTGGAAGTTGCTGCATCGTCAGCATGTTCTTAAATGTTAAAATGTAAATCTTCAAAGTTCTCGTCATCCTTTTGAGATAAATGGGTATGTTTCTCAAAGCAGCTCAAAGTTGTCTACAGCTATCCCGTTAATGACTAAAGAACATTAAGATATTCAAGGTGGTCTTAACGTACAACAGAAAGTATGAAACATGCTCTGTTTCAATACATACAAAAATATATCTTTCAAACAGTAATACTATATAATGAAGATTGCCAATAGTAATACAGAAAGATCATGATATATTAACTTTACACTAATATGATGTTATTTATGTTTATGATTATTTTATTTTTAGCTTTCCTAAATCTAGAAATGAGTCAATTTTCAAGACACACTGATTTTCCATAAGTATCCTGTCTTAAGGGTATAGTATCAAAAGAAGAGACAATATTAAACATTTGAACTGATTGAGATACTTGCTTTACAACTTTTAGAATATGCATTCTGAACTCAGTACAACCTTTGCAAGTTTCAGAAGAATATACAATGTGACAGTGATTCACAGATGACAAATTCCCAATTTCAGTGCAAATCTCAAAATATCTTAAGTACAGAGACGCTGTGAAGCCCCCATAACATTCTACAACATGGAAAGCTAAAGAGAGACACAGCTGCTATAGACTACATCACTGAGGCACCAGTTATGCTGCATTACAAAACGATAAAGCATTTAACCCTTTGCACGTTACACCTCTCAATGTTACATTTATATGCTGTATATATAGAATTTAATAGGGATGTTTGTAAACAGTTCAGTTTATCAGAGTAACATTTGTGAATTCATACTACAAAAATCAGTATTTCAGACTCCACGCTTCAGATCTCCATGTGGGTACAGGTACTGTCATTCAAATGAAGGTTTGCAAAGCAATAAAAATTACTGGTGTGAAATGAGAAATAGATCCCATTTTGACTTACTTGAAATGAGTATGCTCTCATTTAAGCATTCCTGAGTAAGGAATTAAATACTATTCTCATTTTACAGACCTATAACAACAAATCGGTAAGCAATAGATCAAAAAGCATGAAACTGAGTTTGAATCTCCCAAACGTTAGGCTACTGCTAAACCATTCCCTCTTTTGCAGGCTAACTGCAGTGTTAGAAAGGAGCTATTTAGTCTACAATTGGGAATAACTTTCCTGTAATTGACTTTCATTACAGGCTTTACTGTATTTAAATTCTTATTTTGCTGTAAACAAAACTTATATGTAATACTTAGTGGGTGCACCCACATACACGTTACAGGAACATTCAGAAAACAGCTGCCCTAAAGACTGCGAGAAGCAGAAACTGCAGTGTAACAGAGTTCACCTAAGCACGCGCATGCACCAGAAGTAAAACCTTTACAGGCCCACAGTCAAGTTATCTCAATTTTCTAGGAACCTAGAGCCTACAACACACAAAAAAAACGAAGGGGGAAAGTGGACTAAATTTTAACCACTCAAAGCAACCTACACTATCGTGATACCACTGCTGGAAAAAAAAAAAAAACAGAAAGACGAAAGGAGAAAACAAAAGGAAGAAGCACCAAGGCCACAAGCTTAGGAAAGCTTTTACCTGAGGGCTCCAAACCGTGACGTCGTTGTCGTACTGGTTGCGGAACTGAAACGAACAGAGAGCGGTCAGCAACGCCTAGCAAGAAGGGGCCGAGCGCCCGCTCCCGCCTTGAAGCCTGGCCGTTTTCTCTACGGAGCCTTTCCAGTGAAGTGCCTGCTCCCTGCTCTGCCACGACCCCCTGACCACAGCAGCTCCCGCTCCCGCCAGAGCTGAGAGCACACGTTTAACCAACGGCCACGACCTCCCCCCCACCCCCCGGCCGGGGAACTTTGGGCCTCCGGGCTCGGCCCAGCCCGCGAAGTGCTTACTCACGCC